CCAAGGCATTCGACAGAGTTAACCACGAGGTTTTGATCCTGAAATTGAAAGCATTCGGCTTCACAAACAACACACTTGATTTCTTTCCGTGCTATCTATCTAATAGAATACAGTTTGTACAGTTCAACAACGTATCTTCCTTCAAATTCACCGCTAATTCGGGAGTTCCGCAGGGCTCGATTTTGGGACCTCTCCTTTTTGTGTTATTTGTTAATGACGTTTCTCGGTACATCGGGTATTAATTGGAATGAAATTTAAGTTTGATTTCTTTGTATTATTTTTTACAGAATGAATGAAGCAGCTAATTTTGAGTTTATAGAGTGAATTCAAGTCCAATAAAAGGTTTGGCTTATTAAGTTCAATGTTGGTTCCAAATATGGTAACTTATAAATGCTTCTTATTATTTCGTTTTGTAAGGTTTTCAGAGGTTTTATTATAGATTTACCGCTTGAGTGTTCGAGGATATTTTTATTGACTTGTGTATGAGGTTGGATTCTTTCAATACACACAATTCAATAACGTAAATTTCCGCTTGAATATAGTACTTAGCGACATCATTTTTTCAATATTGAAATTTCTCACATTGTTCGAATTCTACCGGTGATTGTTTTTCCAGGGGAAGTGTAAGACTAAGTGCTGCGAAAGCGTTCTTGAGGCCACAAAGAAACAACCCAAAACTGCATGTCATGTTGAACTCCACAGTCACAAAGATACTCATAAACAAAGAAAAAACTGCCGTAGGTGTAGAGTTCGTATATAGAAACCGAACGTACAGTGTACGAGCAACAAAAGAAATTATTTTATCTGCTGGTACAATGAACACCCCGCAATTGTTGTTGCTGTCTGGAGTTGGGCCTAAGGATGTGTTAGACCGAGTTGGGATTCCACAGCTGCACGAATTACCAGGAGTCGGGAAAAATTTATCAAACCATGTTGCATTTACTATGTCTTTCGATTTGAAAAAAGAAAAGAACACAAATTTGATGAACTGGCAATCGATCACGCAATATCTTCTCGACAGGAGTGGACCTTTAGCATCAGCAGGTGATATTTTACCAACATTTTTACTATTTTAGATTTTAAGTGAAAGATGAAACTCTGTTGGATCTTCTTAAGAATTATCTTATTTGGAGATGAAGTACTCTCCAGACGTTATTAATATTTAAACTCCTCAATTGTTGTGTTGAAGTTAAAAAGACTATTGTTTCACAAACTCCTTGAGTGACTACAAGTGATCTATTTTTCATCAAATGTCCTTCACATTTCGTTGGTAGCAAGCTCTTTGAATATTTGACACATTGTTCAAGTTCTTGAAATGAACCCGTAATAACTACCGTATACATTGAGATATATTTTGATAATTCTCGCAGTTCAATCTTTTCAAGCTCAGATATATATTGAATATTTCAATAAAGTCATATGTATGAATGAATCGTAATCTGTGTGTCAGTCATGATACTTCTAAGAAGACAACATCTATTGAAGTAGAACGTAGTACATATAGTTGTTCATATTTGATAACTGCACAATGTCAAATATTTCTCCCCACTTAAAATCATTATAGTGGTTACTATGTGTACGTTTGACATTGTCACGTCCACAATTGTAGTAGTTATGTCCACACTTGTCATATTCTGAGGGGAACCTCATGTATTGATAGCATATTTTTGAAACATCTCACATAATTCATCAAGTATTCTTAGCATTGTGAACTTCTCTCATCCATTAACATTTGGTTACCGTTTAATTCTTCACATATTATATTGGGTTAAGTTTCAAGAAAAATATAAATTTCGTGCCTCACATGTCGTAAGTACCACAAGCAAATAGTTGAATGTATTTTAGAGGTAATAACAAAATGTAGCAGCAGTCTTTAAACTTGANACAGAGCTGATTTAAGCTTGTCGCCTACTTGACCGGCACAGCACAGCATGGCGCTGCCCGTCGCCTGATGGTGACGGGTAGTAGCTTCGCTCACTTGTCCAGCTACAACCAGCATATTGAAGGTGCTGTTTGTTCGATTTCAAGGAAATTTCAGTTGACATTGAGCGGTGATAGAAACATGTCTATCGCTAGCAGTTCTGACGAAGAAGTCGTCATTATAGTGGCTGCATTTTTGAATGTAGAAGAACATAGTTACAAAAAAAGGATGTGAGTTCATTTCATCAATCAAAAGAGGGCGAATCTGGGAGAGTTTCATCATCTTTTCAACGTCCTGAAAGAAGACGAAGAGAAACTTTTCCAGTATTTCCGAATAAGTTCAGGCAAATTTTCAGAACAGTGGATATTCTAGAGCCTGCCTTAACAAGCAACTCAATTTTTCTTCGTCCACTTTCATGGTACCGTCTGACACCGTGCTGTCAACTGATGGAATAGCAAAACAAAGAGACAGAAACTTCCCAGGCACGTTTGGACAAGTTGATGCTGGCAAGCGGTGGCCGATGACGCGCTCACTTGGCCAGTCCGTCACAGCACGTACCGTTATTTGCCGGACAGGGCTAGTGAACGGTTGCCCATTCATTTTCATTGTTCCAATGTTATACGTATATTGACAGGATGAGCCGTGCTGTGCTATGCCGGACAAGTGGGCGACAAGTTTTAGATCTTACAAATGATTAAACAAGTTCCAGAGCAATTAATTCAGCTTCTATTATTTTGAACTTGTACAGTGAACAAAAAATATCATATTTTTTTCATGTTCATTCAATAGTAATCTGTTCAGCTGATGATTATTTTTTCGGTATGTAGATTGGGAATTAGTTACGCAAAACTGAAAGGTGCTACATAAATAAATAATAATATGTTTTGAGCAAATAAGATAACAGCATTATGCAGAATTCTAATGAAGGTTACGATGTTATTACCCTTGATACATGCTTCACCTATACTGAAAACAACAAATTGAAATAGTAACCGGGGGGATATAAATTATTCCATAAGACAAGAAGACATCATATGAATAATCTAATACTAGTAATAATAGAAGTTAGGATTCCTTTTACGTAATCTAGGTCATGATCCAAATTGCATCCTCTTACAGACCACCATTACTCGAAACTTTTTATACAGTTCGTGAATAGTATTTTTGATCCGAAACAGACACAAACACTGTTCCCAGTGGACAGAATGGCATACTCTTCTCGACGTGCATTTTACTAACCATGTTATCGTAGTGAGGAGAATAGATAATGTATGGCCTATTTATATCGAATAGGGTGAACTTTCATTCTCACATTCATGATTTTTGGGGTAAGCATCGGTAGGAAATCTTTTGTGGGAGTATATGGAAATTTTAACAAAGTTCGCAGCTTTCAGCACAGAGCTTCGAAAGCCTGAGCTCAATGGACTGTTCCGAAAACTTTGTTTTCACTGTTTCATGCTCAGATGGGCTTGAACACTTATTGGTGGAAAAAACTACCAAGCACCCACCGTCATCTGGCCAGAGCAGCCGATTCCGGTTGGTTTTCAGGGGCAGAACATTCTCATCCCCAAAAGCGGATATTTGTCGTCTTCTCAAAAATTACACATAGTTCGATGTGGTTGTCGTCTTTGGGGATACAAGTTTAAATAGATTTCGGATGTCCTTACACTGTATCTATCATATTTGTAATAAATTTGTATCATATATCTTTTTTCTTCATTCGTGAAAGCCATTTTTCGCCAAAAATTCAATGATTTGTACAATAACAAAGTATCATTGAGTGTAACAAATTGAAAGTCAAATTTAGATACATCAAAATCAAAGCCTATTATAAGAAATAATTTTTTTCAATATCTCCAATTTTTTGAAAAAGAATAATTACTTATTATGCATCATTAAAAATGTAAAATCTATTACTATTCAAAACAGAAAGAATTTAATGTAGCGCCCATTAGAAAAATGAAGTTGATGATACTGGCCGGAAGACGAAACGTCGGATAGCAAATCTGAAAACACCATTATGTATCAGGGAAAACTGGCAATATGAAAGTTCAATTCATTTTCGAATCTTTCGAAAAATTAAGCCAGAAAAAATTAAATCCATTTTTCGAAATTTCGGTTTTTTNCTCATATCAAGTCTCTTAGTTTTACTTACCTTAAAAAACAAAACAAAAATGCTACCTCAACCTCCAATATGATTCACTAAGTAAAGCAAAAATATCGTAATTGCAACCTTTCTTCATCTCACATGTCATATTAATTTGTCTATCTATTTTTTCACTGGATATCTTCTTTTTCTTTGTTCGGACACGTTATCGAGTTACTCGTTCCAAAATTGAGGAAGTGTTTATTTATTGTCGTATTTTCTTTCAAAAACTACTTGTTTTTGAAGTACAGTATCTCTGACCTATACATTTTCTTCCTTTGTTTTTGATGTTTATTTTCTATATCTCGCTGCACTTCATAATGGATTTTCTGATTTAATTTTTTGTCTTTCTACATGTGAAGTTAATTGTTGTCGTTTTTTAGTTGTTTTCTTTACTCCTGATTATCTTTGAAGTTTCTCTCATCAAGTTATTTAATAAAAATCATCGATAACTTTCTTTCATGATACTTTCATTAATTGCCATATATTCACTTAGTATTTTCAGTTGTGTATGCTATGAAGATGGATATGATTATAGTAGTGAATATGGCGATTTTCGACAAATTGAAAAAATACGAGAACGAAATTTTAAGAATTGAAAAAACAAGTTACTGAAAAAATTCCACTCATTTAAAATATTTTTAATAACCATTTGTTTCGAATCATACTTGAAGGTTTTAGTAATCATACAGTTGAAGATGCAAAGCATCTTCATTCAATACTTTTCACACAATACAAAATAGTGGCATATGAAAAATGTGACAAATGTTGAATTTTCTGTCAGATCACCTGAGAAAATAGATTTGAATATAATGAATAATTACTCGAACACGTTAATTAATTTTAGTTTTTACTTGGATTATTAGCCTACTTATATTTGTTAATAACTGATAGTTTGGTTCACTGATATGGTAATCATCAATGTTGACTATCCAAAAGGCGAACTCCATATATCACGAACAACCAGTTTCATAATTTCAATAGTCGAGCATGAACAATTGATCATTTTGAGGTGAGGAATACTGTGTTATATATTTTACCAATAATTATTTCCTCGAACAGTTATGTTGAAAAATCATATAAACATCTAGTATGTTATTCACTTCTAAAAACTACTGTGTTAGCGAAACATGTGATATTTTTGTTCTTGTGAAATCACTATGGATCTTCATCAAGTAACGGTCGAATCAATAAGAATAAAATTATCAGGACGTATAAAACTTGACATTATTCTATTTTTGATGATGCTATTTGAGGAAGTAATTTGGTATATATTATTTTGTATTCATCAAATGAAAGCCTCATTTTCATTTTGAAAATTATTTACAGCATCATGAACGTAACTATGATGGCGGAAAGTCCCAAATTCGTGGCGATGTATATGCGTTAAATCATATCATTTTTATATAAAAATTATTGGTATTTTTGCCATTATGGCCTTCTATATGGCCTTGAAATAACTTTATTTTGAAATACTGGTAACTGCCCTCTTACTCATTTGTAATAATTCGAAATTGAAACACACTTTAGGAAAAACAAGTTTGGGCTTTCTTTTTCTCCATCTTTGTCATTCAAAAACTTTTTTTTCCATCGAAACACTGTTTCTCACCTTTCGAATACATCAGTAGAAATACAGATTCCTCATTGATTGAAAAAATACGCATTTTCATCAGCTCGAAAAATATCAGGGGATATGTTATATATGAATATCAATGGAGTTTTTTCCCAACGCCAAACCGTTATTTTAACACCTACACACGTGTTTCGATCACCAAGTGATCATATTCAAGAGGAATATTAAACTAAATATAACTACAGTGTTATCCTTATTTATTCCATATAGTGTGGAAATGAGTACACATGATAAATATTTTGAATAACGATGGTGGATCAATACCTAATAGTATACTATATAGCTTGTTAAAATAATATTTTAATTATCAGATTCACCTAACTATTATATAAGGACATATTGTAAAATTAATTTAAGACTGGTAGATAAGGCAATATTGTGAAATTAATTTAAGACCCTCAAGACGCATGTACCTAGAAAAAGTATCTATGGTATAAATGGGGATAACTTTGTAATTATATTCAGTTTATTCAACCTCTTGAAAATGATTACTTGGTGGTCGAAACACGTGTCGAGGTGTTAAAATAACGGTTTGGTGTTGGGAAAAATTCCAGTAATATGTGTACTTGAGTTTTCCACTATTTCACCAATCATTTCAAATTTATTGGGATATTTCTGTATGTAATCCATCTGCTTCGTTTCCAAACTATTTCTTTTGATCGTACTTGACCGTGGGATAGCTATTATAGATCAGTTCAAATTAGTAGTTATGGGCTTTGGCAAGAGTATAGTTGTGAATGTATTTGAGGGCTGTGAAAAGACTGAAATAACATTGAAAGCACCCATAAAAGAACATAGAAATGGCTTCTAGAATGGAAAAATCAATTCAACGTAGGCCACTCACCTCTTTACAGGTGGACATAACTTCAATTATAAATTCAAATCTCTTTATTTTCAGAAGATAATTCGCCTTCGCTTATTCCCCTCTTACCAAGAATTGATGTCTAGAATGTAATTTAATATCGTTACCTATTTTTACTAGAACTCTCAGTAGATCATGGGTTATATCCAGTCTCTCGAGTAGATGAATTAATTAATTGTCTGATTGTACTTCGGGCAGTAGCTGATGTTGTGTAGTATAAAATGGTTATGAATTATAAGTGATTTATCATTCTCGCTGGAATAAGCTATTGTATACCGAAACACGTGTCGCTGTCTTTGTTAAATCACTATAGAAAAAGTAAATGGATTTACACCAATTATCGACCATTTCTATCTAATTTTTGAATTTGGAGATTCGTTGATTCTTCATTATAGCAGAATATTTGACTCAACTTTTTTTGAAATATATTTTTTCAGAAAACTGGTCTGTATCTCCCATACTCACAACTTGTAGTCATCAAATTTTCGCTTGATCAACTTCACAAGATTCGCTACAGAAGTTGAAACGAAATGGCAAGCCAGTGTGAATCATCGTATTATGGCCCCTCATTCACAGAAGTATGTCCGGGTAGTAGTTTCTTTCTCTTCATGTCTTTGGTTGATGCCATCTTTAGGAAAACGAACGACGTCGCCGATCCTTGTGAAAGAATTCGACCTAGAAGGAAGCCGGATTCGTCTTACGACTTCATAGTAGTTGGTGGGGGACCAGGTGGAGCAACTACCGCGGGGAGACTTGCTCAAACTAGGAAATGGAAGGTACATGTGATTTTTTTTCTCATATGGATGGCTCATTGAAAACAGTTCAGCAAGAGTTTCGATTTTATATAGGAAAACAAAAAAATCTTTGGACACTTATACGAGGATGACGAGAATCTATTGATACGAATAGTCTAAAGTCTGTCTTAGAAATGACCTTCACCAATCTTCTCAATCGATGAAAAGTTTTCTATATGAAATTTAGCATGTTAAAAATGAATCTCTAGTGGAATGATTGGAAAATCCCGGCAGACTATGATTAAACAGAAATAAGTTTTATGAACATTGCCCTCATTTCTTTAATGACGGGAATATGTACTGATCGAAAGTGTGAGACCTACAGAATATACAAACGTTGGTTTGGCTATTTTTTCCTGGCATAACCACTGTTTTGACAGGTAAGTCGATACTAATAATTAACACACAATAATTAACACAACAATAATTAACACACAATAATTAACACACATCTTATTCCGAAACAAGCAGTGACTGTAGAGACAAATAGACCGTTGTCAAATTGAAACTGAAATACCAAACGTTTCGACTACTTCTGCGACATATCATTGAAAACAGTTCAGCAAGAGTTTCGATTTTATATAGGAAAACAAAAAAATCTTTGGACACTTATACGAGGATGACGAAAATCTGTTGATACGAATAGTCTGAAGTCTGTCTTACCAATCTTCACCAATCTTCTCAATCGATGAAAAGTTTTCTATATGAAATTTAGTATGTTAAAAATGAATTTCTAGTGGAATGACTGAAAAATCCTGGCAGACTATGATTAAACAGAAATAAGTTTTATGAACATATGTACTGATCGAAAGTGTGAGACCTACAGAATATACAAACGTTGGTTTGGCTATTTTTTCCTGGCATAACCACTGTTTTGACAGGTGAGTCGATACTAATAATTAACACACAAATCTTATTCCGAAACAAGCAGTGACTGTAGAGACAAATAGACCGTTGTCAAATTGAAACTGAAATACCAAACGTTTCGACTACTTCTGCGACATACATCATCGGTGGTATGAGCGTTGACTGCGAGGGCAAAAGTTATATCTCGGAATCTCATTAACTTTTGTCAGTCATATCTTTGATTGGGATATAATTTTTTCATAAAAAAATGAATGTAATGTTCAAAACAGTAATGATCAGAATGTTTTTTGCTTACCTTCTAGCTATATAATTATTATATATTAAACTTCATATGAAAGACATTTTTTATTGATTAAACAGAATGGTGAAGGTTATTTTTAATTCGGATCTTCTAATATACTTGAGGAAAAACTTTTTGGCATTCTACTCTTCCACCTTTTTATACAAAATAAAGCTATTATGTTCTAAATACACTCCTCACGAGTATGTGTAGTTCATGAATGGAAATTACTTTTAGACAGAAATTCGAAAAAATAAACCTACCAAACAATAAATTCTACCTGAACAGTGAATTATTCGAACAAAAAAGTACTGTTACATTTTTACCAATGAATGACTACACTGAACAATAATCAAACTCAACTTTATTTCATTATTTATACAAAAAACACTAACTAAAACTTCAAGTAAAACTCATTGATACAGTTTATTGGCTTTTTCAAAACCCTTCATAGTGAAAATCTTACAATAAGCTCTATCAATTAGTTTTAATATAGATTTTCATCAAGTATCGGCCAGTTCTATTCAAAAACTCCAATTATTATTCAAATGTCTATAGCCTTGTAACATCGTTCTGTACTGCACTGTCCACGTAACTTCACTTCATATCGATAGGCGAGTGTGTCGCGTTTATATTTGGCAATCAAAGGCGGTAGAAAATTCGCTGGAATTCCATCGAAGCCGATAGCATTATTCTTGCTACGTCTAGAATTGATCCCCAGCGCAGGTCGAGTGGAGCACGTCCCAATTGATTTGTGATGACCAGTGGCGGCCTGCGTTATTGTCTTTAAGACATGCTTCACAACAACACTTTTGCAATAATTACTTTCATATAAACGATAAATTATACGGAAATCACTTTTTCGTATTCAGTTTCCACATCCGCACATTATCGCACGTCGAAAGGTAAGTTCTCGTTAATCAATATTTTGCACAAGTTTCAACTTTTGAGTATTTTCGTTTGTAGGAGACCAACTTCTGGTTAACAGAAATACATATTTCAACAGAGATCATTCACAATAATGCTGGACAGTATAATACATGGAAGAGTTTTGATATAGAATTTCATTTACATGGACATTTTATTACCTCAACAGAACGTTAGCACAATGTCAGTACGTGAAGACATTCATACGCGTATTTGATTCGATCCCAGTCATAGGAATCTTGTTAGAATTGAAAGGGGTGAATTTTTCAGATTATTTTTTGTAAAACAACTTTGTTCAGTTTTTGCCCACTCATAGTTTTGGTATTAGGATTTTGAAGGAAAATATGCAATACCATCTTCGTTTGTATTCTCATCTTGTTTCATTGTTCACACAATATATTTTAAAACTATATACAATTTGAATTTTGCACATTATTGGTACCAAGCCCATGGGCGTCCAAAACATCACGAGTACGAAATCAGCAGGAAATAGTTTTTGAAATATTCGATTTTCATGTGTTTTTCCTAAATTTTTGCTACCGATACTGCTATTCGCTGGTGCTCATCGCTTGTTAAAATGGTACACTATTTTAAAAAATGTCTGTAGACGGCATCCGGAAGAGAGCTAATGATTAGGTAACCCTTTTCAGTACTAATAACTGAATTTCTATAAAAAAATCAAGAATTGATCTGCACCCGTGTCTCCATGAATCATGCGCTAATCATTCCAACTGGGCACATGTACCGCTTTTTTGATCTAAATCAAGGAAAGAGTGAGATACGTTACAAATATAATGCACTCCTTGAACGTAACAATACTAATTGGCTCATAGTTTTTGCTCATTTAAAAAAGATTTAAAACGTTTAAATGGTTAGGAGATACAAAAATATTCAGAAAGTCAGATCACTTGTGGAGACATTAACAACAAATGTTGCTGCTTTGAAACTTATGGGTCCCCTTCAACTCTCAAAAATAGAAACTTGTGCGAGCTAAGGACTGCCGAGGTCTTACCGATTCATCGATTGAACGCTGGGATACTATCACAAGTTTGGAATTTGAATCTCCTGTAGCTGCTGATGAGCTACCTTCCTTCGAATCTTTAAAACACTTAATACGAAAAAGATGTTCTGCTTTTGTGGCCATCGAGGTTTCATCTGATAAATCGCTTAAATCATCTCAAAATTGGAAGAATACTCAAAATTATCCAAAACTCAAAAAAAACTTCAGCTTATTTTTGCAATTTGCCTAAAATTCATCAAACACAAATTGTTCCTGCTTCTGTTGTAATCGAGATCATTCATTTAAAAAGCGTTCTGCATACTATCCATCGCCTGAAGAAAGATTTCGGTTCGTGAAACAGGAAAGGTTAATGTTCCAATTGTCTAAGCTATCAGCACAACACATAAGTGTAAATAGATTTCAGCTTGTACTCAATATCACTTAAGCCTCCATATAGATAAAATTAAACAGTAACTCAGAATTGAACTTCTTCATTTCCACGAAATGAATTTCAAGAATCTGAACCCAGCACATCTAAGTCACCAGGAACTTTTATTATTCTCAGTATGACTCCTTTTATAAGCAACGTTTTACTTTCTTGCTTTCTTATTGTAAACTTGCTCCTGAACTAAATTTACAGGGAGATCAGTTGGAGTCGTAAACTCGACATCCATCTCCTCTGTAGACTCGCTCCTGAACTAAATGTACAGGGAGGTCAGTTGGAGTCGTAAACTCGACATCCATCTCCTCTGTAGACTCGCTCCTGAATTAAATTCACAGGGAGGTCAGTTAGAGTCATAAACTCGACATACATCTCCTTTGAAGACTCGCTACTTGATTAAATTTACAGGGAGGTCTGTTGGAGTCGTAAACTCGACATCCATCTCCTCTGTAGACTCGTCCTGATCTAAGTTTATGTTTTGAGCAAATAAGATAACAGCATTATGCAGAATTCTAATGAAGGTTACGATGTTATTACCCTTGATACATGCTTCACCTATACTGAAAACAACAAATTGAAATAGTAACCGGGGGGATATAAATTATTCCATAAGACAAGAAGACATCATATGAATAATCTAATACTAGTAATAATAGAAGTTAGGATTCCTTTTACGTAATCTAGGTCATGATCCAAATTGCACCCTCTTACAGACCACCATTTCTCGAAACTTTTTTTACAGTTCGTGAATAGTATTTTTGATCCGAAACAGACACAAACACTGTTCCCACTGGACAGAATGGCATACATTTCTCGACGTGCATTTCACCAACCATGTTGTCGTAGTGAGGAGAATAGATAATGTATGGCCTATTTATATCGAATAGGGTGAATTTTCATTCTCACATTCATGATTTTTGGGGTAAGCATCGGTAGGAAATCTTTTGTGGGAGTATACGGAAATTTTAACAGAGTTCGCAGCTTTCAGCACAGAGCTTCGAAAGCCTGAGCTCAATGGACTGTTCCGAAAACTTTGCTGTTTCAGGCCCAGATGGGCTGAACACTCACTGGTGGAAAAAACTACCAAGCACCCACCGTCATCTGGCCAGAGCAGCCGATTCCGGTTGGTTTGGAGGGGCAGAACATTCTCATCCCCAAAAGCGGATATTAGTCGTCTTCTAAAAATTACACATAGTTCGATGTGGTTGTCGTCTTTGGGGATACAAGTTTAAATATATTTCGGATGTCCTTACACTGTATGTATCATATTTGTAATAAATTTGTATCATATATCTTTTTTCTTCATTCGTGAAAGCCATTTTTCACCAAAAATTCAATGATTTGTACAATAACAAAGTATCATTGAGTGTATAAAATTGAAAGTCAAAGCCTATTATGCTAAGAATTGATTTTTTTCAATATCTCCATTTTTTCGGAAAAAAATGATAACTTATGATACATCATTGTA